CCCACCCCCCACTTCGTAAAATAGTTATTTAAAAAAATTTAAATTAAAAATTAAATTATTAATAATGTTTTAAGTTCAGGATCTTGGTTAATTTTTAGTAACCTTGAAACACGGAAGAATAAAAAAAAAAAAGTAATTACTAAACACCATAAGTTAAACATTAATTAACCGTAAAAATAAATTTCTTATTGATGATTACACTTAAAACTTAATAATAATAATAATAATAATATATATATTTAAAAAAAAAAAAAAGCTTCATTAGAACAATGAACTTTACCATCATCATCATCATCATCATCCTCCTCGCACAATTTTATTATTGGTCGATCATGTTTTTTTAGCCTAAAGCATATTTATAAAAACTAAAATAAAAAAAAAATCAATTTTTTAAATAAAAAAAATAAAAATCAAATATAATCAATAAGCCATTTTTAGTTTTACACCTTAATTTACATTTTATATTTTATATATATATATATGTGAATACCTGAAAAAAAAAAAAATTTCCTCATTTCCTACGCTTATTTTTTTTTCTTTTTTTTATGATCATTATTACTTTTATAATAATAATAATAATAATAATAATAATAATAATAATAATAATGGTTAGTCATTTTTGGTGTGATTCTTTGTCTTAAAAAAAAAACCACAAATTCGGTATTCGATACACAATAATTCACCATTAAAAAAATTATTATTATTATTTTTTTTTTTTCAAAACATATTATTTTAAAATAATAATAATAATAATTACACCTATTTTTTTTAATTACGTAAATGGTTATTATTAAAAAAAAAAAAAAATTTTAAATCATTTCTGTTAACGTCACCTCGTCCATTTTTTAATATATTTTTATGTATTATTGAAATTTTTTTTTGAAATCGTGAAAACCCCCCCTCCCCCTCCCTTTTTAATTAACTTATAATACCGTGAATACATTCGATGATTGATTGGTTTAATTCTTTCATTCAATTCATTTTATTTAAGAAAAATAATAATAATAATAATAATAATAATAGAAAATGATAAATGAGATAAAAAAATTTTTCCAATAAAAATAACATTGAGAAATCTTTTTTAATTATTTTTATTATTTAAATTATTCAAGAATTTTTAAATGTTACTGTTTTATTATTATTATTAGTATTATTAGTATTAATATGGCGATTATATATATATGGCAAAAGTTAAAAAAAACCAGATTTAACGGTTTGTCGAGAGGTAGAGGGAAAAAAAAAAAAAATTTTTTTTCTCGATTTATTTAATTATTATAAGAATTTTATTATTATTATTATTCCGTACGTAATTTTTTTGTGCGTGAGTAAGTGCGTATAAATATATATTCGATAATATATATGAGAACTCGAGAAAAGTTAATATAAAAAAAAAAAAACATAATGGGTTTTTAAAAGTATCTAAAGAAAAGAGCGATGAACTTGATATAACCATTTATAGCTCACAACACATACAGTCCAACGCTCTGCTATATTATTATTATTATTATTATTATTATTATTATTATTATTATTATTATTATTATTATTATTATAATCTTGTAATTAATGTTTTTTTTGTGTTAAAGGAGATGAAAAACTAAACTGACGAATTTTTTATTTTCTTATAAAAATTTTATCTTTATCTTTATATTAAAAATAATTTTTTGCCATTTGCCAAAAGAAATTCGTATCCTGGATTAATTAAGAACAACCTGGGAGGGAGGGGGGGAGGAAAACAAAAAAATGGCAAAATATTAATTAAGGTTGATTTTCGAAAAATTAAAAAAATTACAAAAAGAAAAAAATGGAACGTTAGAATTTTTTTTTTGTTTGTTTGTATTTTAATGTTTTCACGTTCGACGTTCGTGATTATAAAACGATACTTAAAACGACATGTTTCGAAATGGGTGAGAAAAAAAAAAAAAACAAAAAATTTTTTTTTTTGTAAATTAAGTTTTTAACGGTTAAAAACCAAAATCTATTATTAGATTTTTAAAAGTCACCATACGGGGCAATGAAAATTTTTTTTTCTTTTTTGTTAATGGTTATTTATAAATTTTTTAAACGTGCCGTAAACAAAATTTTGTTAGAAAACAATCAAACTATATAATATTGAATAAGTTTTTTTTTTCGCTTATTTTTAAATCACGAATCGGCCATTTTGTTTTTTTCTAAACGGTTTCCATATTTTCTAATATCGAAAAACAAAATTTACGTGAATATTTTTATATAAACGAATTTACTGTTACCTCGTCGTAATTATTATTATTATTATTTATTTTTCTAATAATATTTCGGGAGTTATTTGTTTAACAAAAAATAAATAAATAACGAAAAACTCGTTTTCAAATTTTTAAACAATAAAAAATTTCACAATTTTTTTTTTTTTATATAATAAATAAATAAATAAGTAAATAAAAAAATTATTTTAGTTTTAGAAAATATTTTTTTTTTTTTTTTAAATTCTAACGAATAAAAGTTTGTCGTTTTTTTTATTAATTGCGTAATTTAATTAATAATAATAATAATAATCGAAAGTTAAATTTCGCAATAAAAATTTTTCAAAAAAAAAAAAAAGAGAAAGACTTGAATCGTATTTTTTTTTTTTTTTTTTAAATTAAAAACTTTCTAGTTTAATTAACTTTTTCGAAAAGAAAATTTTAAAAAAATTTATTTATTTATTTATTTATTTATTTTAAACCTTTTCTTGTATTTAAAAAAAGAAAGAAAATTCTTGGTACGTGAAAAAAAGGAAAAACCGTTTTTTTTTTTTTTTCATTCGGTATTAATAATAATTTTTTAATGTCAAACGCACAAGGACTTCATATAAGCACTTTTGTCTGGCCTACTCGATTACTATTTTAAAAAAAAAAAATTTTTAGGTGTAGTTTGTGACAAAAGTTTAGTCATCAAATACTAATTTTCTTCAACCAATAAAAAAAAAAAAAAAAAAAGGTGTAAGAAGACAAAAAGAAAGAAAAAAGAAAAAAGAAAAACATAATTTGAGGTTTTTTTCCATTAGTTAAATTCAAACATTTCAAACAATTATTTGTAAATATTACAATTAATTAATTTTTGAAATGGCTCCTCCCCCCCCCCTTTTTTCTAACCAAAGAAAAATTTTAATTAATGAAAAATAATAATTAATAATAATAATAATAATAATAAATTTTTCTTTGATTTGACAACGATCCCCTCTTGCAACCTCTCGTATCCTCCATAGTTAAATTATTATACTAACCTTGAAATTTCACGGTATGATATTATTATTATTATTATTATTATTATTATTATTGGACGTCTCGGTTAAAGAAGAACAATGTAATTATGTAATTTTGCTTAGCAATAATAATAATAATAATAATAATAATAATTCATCCTCTTCCTTAAATGTCAATTATTTCAACGCTTACTTATTCTTAACCCATTATTATTATTATTATTTTTCCCTTCCATTAATATTATGCGTTTATTATTATTATTTATGAAATTTATGACGTCATTGTTTACAATTACGAAATTACGTAAATTTATTTTTTTTTTTTTTTGTTTTTTTAGGTGATTGTAGGAATTATAGAAATTATAAATTGTGCCCAATTGCCACAAATAGATCACCGTAAGTTGTTTTATTATTATTATTATTAATATTATTAAAATTATTTTTAAGGATATATAAATAAGAAAAGTTATTACTCGACGAGTTGAATTTAATTATTCGCTTGCAAAAAAAAAAAAATGTTGAAAATGGCAGTTAGTTGTCACATTATCAATGTTACATTATTATCTTATTAAAATTATTTAATAACTAATTATTTTTTTTTTATTCGTGACGTAAATAAATATGTTTTGACAGTGAAAAATTAACATAATGTTATAATTTATACGGAATTTATGTTTTTATATATTATATTCTCCCCTCCCGCCCCTCACTTGTGACGCGAAAAATAATTTTTTTTTTTGGAATTGATCGATTGAGAAATCGACTTGAAACCGCCATTTTGTACACACATGTAAATGTATAAAAAAAAAAAAAAAAGAAATCTACTTTGCGTCATTTTAAAAACATATTTCGATCAAATAAAAATAAAAATAAAAGACGAGAAAATTATTAAATCCAATATATATGACAACTTACTTGATTATTATTTTTGTGTTTTTAAAAAAAAAAAAACTGAAATTTTGCCCTTTGGAATTTCTTTTCCTTAACATTAAAAAAAGAAGAAAAAAAACAAGTTTTGTTTAATCATTAGAAACGAGTGTGGTTAAATAATGACATTTTCAAATATTATTATTATTATTATTATCATCACGAATATGAGAAAAAAATATATAATAATATTAATAAAAATTTAAAAAAAAAAAAGAAGACGAAAACGTAATTTACGATTAGAACACACGACTCCGTTATTGATAAAATTAAAATTATTTCTAATGACACGTAAATTTTATTTACTCTATGATGAACGAATATTATTGCATCATCATCTCAAACTAAATGTTTAATTAATTTAATTGGTAAAAAAAATTTTTTTCAAATTTATTTTATTAATTTTTACGATCCTGTTTTATTTATTTATTAAATTATAAAATGAAATTATTATTAATATTTGAATTGATTATTTTAAATATTTTTCGTCGAGAAAAATTAATTTTAATGAGATTTTTTTTTTTTTTGGAGCCTAAAAAGTGAAATTTTTTTTATTAGCGCGAATTTTCTTTTTTTTTTTATAAAATAAATCAAAGGTACGGCGTCTACCTTTTTAAAATAACATTCAAACGTACTTGAAACGTTCAAATCAAAGTTAAAAAAAAAAAAATTTACCCGTTGTTCGAAGGAGGTAAAAAAAAAGAAAAAACAAGTTTTCATATATATATATTGCAATGATCAAATTTTCTCAAGGTTTATATTGCATTAATACGTCCCACAATAACTTATCATGCCATACGGATTTGAAAATTTAAAATGGAAAAAACGACCGTGAGGACGTTTGAAATAAAAAAAAAAAAAAAAATTATGTAGAAAGTCAGTCGGCAACATTTCTAAAAAGGTAATGCGTTAAAAAAAAAGTTATGGCGAGTTAGAATTGAAAAAAAAAAAAAAAAAATTATTAGTAATAAATTTTAACGGGGAAGTTTGCCGGGAGCAAAATTTTTTTTTTTTTTTCCCATTAAATTTTTTTTTTTATTTTTGTTAAATAATTATTGTTTTTTTCTCCATAACAGACGATTTCGAATTGAACGACGATATTAGAATAGATTGTAATTCAAATGAAATTGCAGTCGCCATAAGTACGAAATCAGGAGCCTTTAATGGTATGGTTTATCCAAAAGGTTTATCGAAAAATTCAACATGTTTAGCAGAATTTTTACATCAGAAAAGTCCAATCAAATATCGTTTGCCTCTAAGGAGTTGTAATACCATGAGTACGGAAATGGTAGGATTATTATCATTATTATTACTCATCCTCTGAAACAAAAAAAAAATTGTTATTTTACATCATCGTGATCCTCGCTCGTTTTCCCCATTGTTCTTTTTTTTTTTTTTTATTCTCATTTCATAATAAATAATAAATGTTAGGACATCCAAAAAAGAAAAATCAATAAGGTCAAATAATTATTAATGAAAGAAAGAGAGAGAGAGAGAGAGAGAAATCAAATGAATTATGACAATTCTATTACAAGATTTTGTGGGATTTGTTGTTATTTGATTGAGCGTGGGTATCATCATCATCATCATCATCGTGAATTGTATTTCATAACCGAAAAAAATTGCAAATAACCTTGAAAGAATTTTTTTTTGTTTTTACCGTTTAATAATTATTACTAGAGTGTAATAATGTATTTGTTTGTTTTGGCAGGACGATGGAGGAATAGAATATTTTAACACAATTGTTGTTCAGCCTCATTTGAAATTAGTAACAAATCAAGGAAGAGGTTTTCACATAAGATGCATATACACAACAAAAGATCAAACCATCACACACAACATGAATTTCAGGTTGATAGTTTTTCTATATTAGATTTACCGCAAAAAGAATTTTACTCCGGGGGAATGATACAATTCGATTAGAATTAGTTTTTTAAAAATGAAAAATTTATATTTTTTCCAGCATGACGGATTCGGAACCTTTGTTAGCGACAGCACCCATGCCAGGATGCACGATGAAAATATATTACGGTGATCCGAATAATAAAGAAGTTGCTGAAAATGTTAAAATAGGAGATCCATTGACTTTGGTCATCGCCATTGATTCTCAATCCGTTTACGGTTTGAAAATATCCGATTGTCTCGTTAGAGATGGTTTAGGTTGGGGAGAACAATATTTGATTGGAGATGATGGGTACGCACGAACAACGATCACATTTATTATTTAAATATCTAGTACGAAAAATAACAATGATAATAATTGTATTTTTTGTTCAGATGTCCGGTCGATGAAGAAATAATGGGAAAGTTTGAATATTCAGAAGACAAAACGGTGGCTTCCGTTAAATTTCAAGCTCATAAATTCCCATACACGGATTCCGTTTATTATCAATGTAATGTTAAACTTTGCGTTAAAGCCGGAGGTTGTTACGATACGGTAAGAAAACCCTGAAATTATTATTATTATTATTATTATTATTACTTTCAAATTCAATTAAAGGAAAGTCAATTTTATTACACTATTATTATTATTATTATTAATATTTGTACACAACGAAGGAAAACTTCAATTATTATTATTATTTTTTTTTTTCAACGTAATGATTTTAAATTTCTTTTAAACAATCGCCATTTTTTTTCTCTCTCTCTCTCACACTCGTTAGTGAATTCAAGTTGATCGTGCAATTTAACCAAAAAAAAAAATTATAAAATACAACTTTCGTTTTAAAATTAAAATTACAGTTACGAAAGCAAATGTTTTTTTTTTTTTTTTTAAAAGGTTTAAAAATAGTCTAAAAAGGGGAGGGGAGGGGGCAATCAAAAAAAAATTATTTTGACTAGACCGAAAACCGTGTTAATTGTGTGATGACTAGCAAAAAAAAATTTCACTTTTAAATAATTTTAAAAAAATTATTATTATTATTATTATTACGGTAACCGTTTATGTTCAATCAACACACGAGCACGCACACACAAAACTCATTTCGTTTAATAAAAAAAAAAATAATTTTATTTAATGGCATCATTTATTTATTAGCCACCTCATTGCGAAAGAGGAGGATCGGAGGGAAGAATAAGGAGGCAAATTGGGGGGAGCAACAGCACGGATGAAGAAGGAGCACCGGCAACCATCGAAGTTTATAGCGGTTTATACGTTAACGAAGCGACAGACGGTAAAAATGATCTCGTCGATAACGTACATAAAGAAAAGGTAAAACTAAATAAATTTAAATAAAATTATTAACATTATTAACATTATTATTATTAATACTTACTTTGTTTGTTTGTAGAAGGTCAACGATTCGGATCAAATTTGCATCTCGCAAAAGAATTTTGCGATAGGTATTGCAATTGCTGGTCTCATACTTATATTATTGGTCATTTTAGCCATTATATTTTTATTGGCCAGAAGGAGAAAACAAAAAGATACAGGAAGCACGGGAAGTTCCATATACAGTGGACCATATACAAATACGGCATACAGTCACAGCAGTTAAACCTGTAAAAAAAAAAAAAAAAAAAAAAAAAATTAAATTAAACAATAGACTTTGATTTATTTAAAATCAAACAGGAAATACCATTTTTCGAATAATGAATAATAAAGGGAGTCGAACGATAATAATAATAATAATATTAAAAACAACGTTGCAAAAATGTTTACATTATAGGTATTTCCTGATGACCTGTGGAGGTGCTCTCTCTCTACTATCTCTCTCTAAAACCCTGTGATAGACGTCATATCGATCGCAACGAATATTTTCGAACATCCTCCTACTCCTCTTCCTCCCTATCATTGTAAAAAAAAAACGATTTTTAATTATTATTATTATTTTTCTTTTCCTTATTTATATTCATTGCATTTCATAATTTAAAAAAAATTTAAAAAATCATTTTTAATGCTTTCACGTTTAGTTCAAATTGAAAAAATATTAAATAACGTAAATAATATTTATAACAAATCATTTCCGGTTAGTAAAAAAAAAATTTTTTACATGAATTTAACAATTAAAATATATATATAAATAATTTTTTATCATATTTTTACTTAAATAAATATCATATTAATTAATTATAAAAAATCATTATTAACATATTCTTTCTAATTGAATAAGAAAGAATAAAATGATGGCAATGGCAGGACATAATTTGAAATCTTGTTTAGTTTAATAAAAAAAAAATTATTAATTTTAAATAAAAAAATTCTTGTTAATAACAATAGAATTTTAAAAAATTTTTTATTGTGGGCCCCCTTTTTTTTTTTTTATTTATTAATTAAATTAAAATTGAATTTTTTGTTTAAAAAAAAAAAAGAAACAAGATTTCTTCTTGTGATGCTGTTGCAATATATTAATTAACATTATATTTTCATCTAAGTTTTCTAAGAAACTTTTTCTTTTTTTTTTTTTTTGTAAATTTATTTCTTTTAAGTATTTTTCTTTTGTCAACAAAAAAATAAATAAATAATTATAATTGCTTTAAAAAATTTAATTAATAAATTTTTTTTGTTTTGCACAAACCAAAATTCTAAAAATTTTTTTTCCCCTATTTTTCCTTATTTTTTAAAATTATTCCTATAAATTAATGCAATTACATAATTTTTTTTAATTAAACAATATATAAAATTTAAATTTTAACAGGAACATAAATTTAAAAAAATGTTTTTATTACAATATATAACAATTAATAAAATATAATTACATTTCTTCTTTGATAAATTAACAATAATGTAAAAGGAAATCGGAATGATAAAATACTATTTTGACAAATTTTTCATTATTATTTTTTATTTTATGTAATTTTTTATGTTAATAAAGTGTAAGACAAGGTTATTGACTAAAAAAAAACAATTATTATCGTTAAAATGAAATAATTGTTTACAGATTAAAAAAAAAAAAAAGAAATAAAAAAAAAAAAAAAACTAATTCTAATAAGAAATAATAAAATATAATATGATGTTATGATTCTGAATTTTCTTTTTTCAGAGCATAAAAACAAAAAAAAAGACAAAATATTACATAAAAAAAAATTTTTTTGGTGTTTGAGTTATAAAATACTTTTAATTATTTGTGTGATTTTCATAATTGTTTAAAAAAAAAAAAAAATAATAACAATTACTTTTTTTAAAATAAAAAAAATTGTATTCTAACATATAGAATATTTTTTTTTTTTCAATTTCATTTTTTTCTATTGACCTTTCCTAAGTATCAGTGACACTAATAATGTGCAGATACCAAAAGACTACACAATTTTTCATTCCTTTTTATGCAGCATTTGATAATAAATCAAAATTTTTTATAATTACTTAAATATAAGTCAGTTAAAAGGATTTTTTTTATTATTATTTGATCGTTTTCGAAATAATTTTAAAATATTTTAAATAGAATATCTGTAATCTATAGTATTTTTTTCTGAAACTAATAACATATCTAACAATTCATAAAATAGAATTTCAATAATTAGGAACTTGAAATTCTTTTTTATTCAATATTTCTTTAATTTTTTTTAACGTTGCAGGTACTAAATCTAAATGAGAGTCAACACATTTCTCTGCACAACTTTCAAATTCTTTCGTGTACCTAGCTATTTCAGATTCATTCGCATTAGCTCCTATTTTGTCTCTAATTCTATCATTACAAGACATAACACATCTCTGCAATCTGTCTTGTAAATGATCAAGTTCTG